GTTGCATTCAGACAACATGGCACACAAGTCCTCCATGTCTTCAGCATTTTCAACCATGTTTGCTTGATTTTTCTTCTTCTTTTTCTTTGTACATCATTCTTTGGCGCACGACAATCCACCGCCTTATGCCCAGATTTTCCACAGTTGTGGCAATTACCCTTGAACTTCTTCTTACTTGGGTAATTCTTTGGTCCAGAAGCCTTCTTTATTCCGGAAAGCTTTTCGGGTTTTTCTGCTGGTGCCATAGCATGAGCAGGAGTTGAACGGCTTGACGAGGCAGCCACATTTTTAATAGTAGCACCCGTTCCCGCAACATTTCCATTAGTTTGGTTTTCATTCGTCATTTTTTCTGTAAAGTTGGAAACAAAACAGAACTTGGTTAAATCAGTGAAGTTTTGATATCTTCAAACTGAATACCAAACCAAACATACAACACGTAACAATGGTGAAGTTTTTATATACTTCAAACCCGTACGTTTATTATTCCGGTAAAGTTTTTATATACTTTAAACCGGACAGAACAATTATTGGAGTAGAAAGCACGAGGCTTTAGTCTCCAAAACACTATACAAAACATGAATAACAGTTTAATATATATTTCAACACAGAAACGTTAGTATTAAAATTCCTTAAGCTTGTGAGCAATACTATGTTAAAACACAAAATCAGAAAAAACTGTTAGAAAAAATAAAAGAAACTGGAAAAACAGAAGAGTTTAAGAAATATTCCGAGTCCACAATTTTCTTGTGTGTCCTTAAGGAATTTTAACCCCCTCACACGTTGCCAAGGTAATGGATTAAATCTTCCTAGGATAAAACGGAATAAACCTTCCTGCAACAGTGGCAATACAAACTGCAGGATACCAACGAACTTAAAGAACGGAGCAAAATCACACTTACGAATTTGAGAGAGAGAGACTGCGAATTAGAATGCAGTATATTCAGAAAGAAAGAAGTTCTGGAGTGTTTTTTGTGTGTAGAAAATGGTGCCTTGCCTCAGAATTTATAGGCAATTATCAGAAGAGGTGTCTGGAAAAGGTGACTTTTCAGAAGAATACGCTGCCTGCCGCGGTTCTACCGCGGTCGCGGCAGAACCGTGGTCAGAGAGGCTTTCTGAACCTGCCTGCCGCGGTCGCGGCAGAACCGCGGCCAGAGAGGCCCTCTGAACCTTCAGCAAGGTTCTGGCGTATTTTCAGCAGTGATTTGGCATTTAATTAATTATTAAATAATTAAATAAATTTTGTCCAAAAATAATCTTATCGATCGATCATTTGACAAATCCAAATCCAAATCCAAATCCAAAGCCAAAGCCAAAGCCGAGCCGAGCGAGCGACGACGACGGCGCGAGGGTTCATTCTCTTCAACTCCTTTTAAGAGCTTTAAGAAGTGATTCTATATATAAGCACACAAATGTGGTTGTCCCTCACCAATGAGGGACAAAGTGCAAGACAAAAGTTCACTTCTTCAAATTTTCAATTTTCCTCCATTTCCAATTCACACTTCTTCTACTTTAAAGCCCAATGGCTTAAAGTCTAACAAGGTTATCCGCTATGGGAGCTTGGAGGAGTAGTGGAGACGCGAGCACTATGTGGTCAACGACGGCGAGATACGTGAGGGAGGCGGCGAGAGAGGTGCTAGGGATATCGAAGGGTTTTTCTGGCAGGCACCAAGGCGACTGGTGGTGGAACGACGTAGTCCAGGGTAAAGTGAAGGCGAAGAAGGTTGCGTACGCGAAGTTGGTAGGGATCACAAGTGAGGAGGAGAGGAGAGCGAATAGAGAGAGGTATAAGGTGGCGAGGAAGGAGGCAAAGTTGGCGGTCACGGAGGCTAAGAATGCAGCGTTTGGTCGTCTATACGAGGAATTGGGGGAGAAAGGTGGGGAGAGGAATTTGTTTCGGCTGGCTAAAGCGCGGGAGAGGAAGGCTCGGGATCTGGACCAAGTAAGGTGCATCAAAGACGAGGATGGTAGAGTATTGATGGGAGAGTCCCAGATTAAGCACATATGTCAGACGTACTTCTATGGTCTTCTAAACGAGGAGGGGGACCGGGATATAGCGCTAGGGGAATTGGGGCATTCAGAGAGTCTCCGAGATTTTAGGTATTGTGCGCGCATTAAGGTGGAGGAGGTCGTGGGGCTTTGCGTAAGATGAGTAGGGGTAGAGCGACCGGGCCAGACGAAATTCCGGTTGAGTTTTGGAAGTGTATGGGTAGAGCAGGATTGGAGTGGCTGACTGGGTTGTTTAATGTAATTTTTAGGACGAAGAGGATGCCGGAGGAGTGGAGGTCAAGTACAGTGGTACCGTTGTACAAGAACAAAGGTGATATCCAGTGTTGTAACAATTATAGGGGTATCAAGTTACTTAGCCATACTATGAATGTCTAGGAGAGGGTGGTGGAGGTGAGGGTGAGGAATACGACGTCTATATCCGGCAATCAGTTTGGGTTCATGCCAGGTCGCTCCACTACAGAAGCTATCCACCTTATTAAGAGGTTGGTGGAACAGTACAGGGATAAGAAGAAGGATCTGCACATGGTGTTTATTGACTTGGAGAAAGCGTATGACAAGGTCCCTAGGGAGGTGCTCTGGAGATGTCTTGAGGCAAAGGGCGTGCCGATAGCCTACATAAGAGCGATCAGGGACATGTATGATGGAGCTAAGACTAAGGTTAGGACTGTGGGAGGCGACTCGGAGCATTTCCCGGTTGTTATGGGATTACACCAAGGCTCTGCGCTTAATCCGTTCTTATTTGCCTTGGTGATGGATGCACTGACACACCATATTCAAGAGGAAGTGCCATGGTGTATGTTATTTGGTGATGACATAGTTCTAATTGATGAGACGAGGGTCGGTGTTAACGAGAGGTTGGAGGTTTGGAGACAGACCCTCGAGTCTAAGGGTTTCAAATTGAGCAGGTCTAAGACAATGTACATGGAGTGAAAGTTTAGCGCTGAGTCGAGGGAAGTAGGCAGGGACGTGAGGCTTGGATCACAGGTCATCCCCAAGAGGGATAGATTCAAGTACCTTGGGTCGATGATTTAGGGGGAGGGAGAGATCGACGAGGACGTCACTCACCGTATAGAGGCGGGCTGGATGAAATGGAGGCTTGCATCTGGAGTCTTGTGTGACAAGAAAGTGCCACCGATACTCAAAGGTAAGTTTTATAGAGTTGTGGTTAGACCGGCCATGTTATATGGGGCAGAGTGTTGGCCAGTTAAGAACTCCCATATCTAGATGATGAAGTTAGCAGAGATGAGGATGCTGAGGTGGATGTGCGGGCACACTAGGATAGACAAGATTAGGAATGAAGATATTCGGAAGAAGGTGGGCGTGGCCCCTGTGGATGACAAAATGCGGGAAGCGAGGCTCGGATGGTTCGGGCACGTGCGGAGTAGAAGCCTTGATGCTCCGGTGAGGAGGTGTGAGTGTTTGGCCGTGGTGGGTACGAGAAGAGGTAGAGGGAGGCCTAAGAAGTACTGGGGAGAGGTGATCAGGCAGGACATGGTACGACTGCAGCTTTCCGAGGACATGACCCTTGATAGGAAGGTCTGGAGGTCAAACATTAGGGTTGTAGGTTAGGGGGTAGTAGAGCTTTCATTACTTCATACCCGGGGTAAGGCGGGGTTGGATTAGGGTTGATCTTAGATGGCTTGCAGTTTATGTTGAGTCCACACTATCCTTGCTGTTTATCTTAGCCCTGGGCCTTAGATACTGGTTACTGTTATTGCATGTCATTTATCTTTTGGTTGTTATGCTTCTGTTACTGTTACGGTTTCTACTGGAGTTACTAATGAATTGTCTTTTCTTGTTTTTTTTTTATTTCTATCTTTCTGAGCCGAGGGTCTATCGGAAACAACCTCTCCGTCCTATCGGGGTAGGGGTAGGTCTGTGTACACATTACCCTTCCCAGATCCCACTTTGTGGGATTTTACTGGGTAGTTGTTGTTGTTGTTGTTACTGGTGATAAAGCTTGTACTGATATATAAACAAGCAACAACTTGTATCAATTGACATATTTCTTCACAATATAAGAGAAGCGGTGTGATTTATAAATTCTCTCTATGCTAGGCCAACTTAATTCATCACAACTGTTTGATGTTTTCCTTGTCAACTGAAATTCAGGTATGGATGTAAACTGTGGTTCCTGCGTGAGAACCAATGCAAGATTAGCTTTGGAGAAGAAGAAATTACAAGAATCCGATATAGACAGAGCTCTTCGCAATATCTTCTCTATTAGAATGAGGTTAGGACTATTCAATGGTGACCCAAGAAAATTGGAATATGGAGACATTGCAACAACAGAGGTTTGTAGTAAAAAGCACCAGGATCTATCCCTTGAAGCAGCAAGAAATGGCATTGTCCTTTTGAAGAACTCTCCCAAACTCCTTCCACTTTCTAAGAATAAAACCACATCACTTGCTGTAATAGGTCCAAAAGCAAATGATGCTGAATTACTTTTAGGTAATTATGCGGGCATTCCATGCAACAATGTTTCATTACTCCAAGGATTTCAGCGCGTCGTGAAAAACATAGGCTACCATCCGGGCTGCAACTTTGTCAACTGTACTTCTGCTGCAACACATGAAGCAATTGACGTTGCTAAAAAGGCACAGTATGTTGTTTTAATAATGGGATTAGACCAGCGTATGGAGAGGGAGAGCTGGGATCGCACTGAACTCGGGCTGCCAGGCCAGCAAGAGACTCTTATTAAAGCAGTAGCCAAGGCTGCTGCTGAACCTGTTATACTTGTGTTGGTAGGTGGAGGTCCTATTGATATTTCTTTTGCCAAGAACAACCCGAAAGTCGGAGGCATCTTGTGGATTGGTTATCCTGGAGAGGCTGGAGCAGCTGCACTAACACGGATCATTTTTGGAGAACATAATCCAGGTCAACTTGAGCATCAACAATCTTAGTACTTACTCTCTTTACTACTATAAGTAATATTTTGTTGGAAAACTTGTTTAACATGCAAGATCACATATACTTTGCAGGGGGCAGGTTACCAGTGACTTGGTATCCCAAGGAATTCACAAAAGTACCAATGTCAGACATGAACATGAGGCCTAACTCAACGACTGGATATCCAGGGCGAACATACAGATTTTACAAAGGGCCAAAAGTTTATGAATTTGGATATGGCCTTAGTTACACAAGTTATTCATACAAGATTGACTCTGTCAATCATGACAAGCTCTACTTCGACAACCTAACGACAGACAAGGCAAGAAAACATGGTTCACTACTTAATGTAGCAGTTTCGGATATTGGATCAGAGGCTTGCAAAATGGCTAAGATTTCAGTCAAGGTTGTGGTGAAAAACAAGGGAAAGATAGCTGGTAAACACCCTGTATTGTTGTTTCTTAGGCATCCCAAGGTGAGAGATGAGGTTCCAATAAAGCAGTTGATTGGATTCAAGAGTGTACGTATAGATGCAGGGGAAACGACCAAAATCAAATTTGTGGTGAACCCTTGTGAACACTTCACTAGGGCTAATGAATATGGTATATCAGTAATTGATGAAGGGAAATATTATCTTGTTGTGGAAGATAAGAAATATCCCGTTATTGTATTCATATGACCCTTTAGATCACATATAGGAGTCCTAATAACTAGTTAATGTTGAATTGTAGTGTTCATCTCCTTTCTTAGTCCACTTTACCTACTTGTATTTTTATCTGGAAATTTTATCTTGTTGCTTCAGTTGATTTTAGTCTCTTAAGCAGAATAAATGTTAATTTCTTATTTTTTATTGTCTCTGATTAGCTGCTATTCCATCTTCCTAAAAGATTATTTGAGTAAGGTGGATAAAGATATAGTTGGCCTGAGTAAGACAGTTTCTATGTGACTTTTCATTTCATTTGTTTGGAGTCGGAGAAATCTTTGACTGAGTAAGCATCTTGGTAATGTTTTGATAATTTCATAATAGACTTTATAGAAGAAACACTAACGAGGGACAAGAGGAAAAAAGAAAAAGAAAAAAAAATGAGGTATGGTGATCTTGTCAACTTATCATTTAGATGATCACAATCCAATATTTTAGGTTAAACTATTCAATCTATTTACAAATCTTATAAGGAAATGGACCTCTTCAGAAGGGATAACGAGCTTTAACTAGGACGTGGGGTGGACACATTTACATATGTAGGATTTTCTTTAAATCATTTGATTTTGGAAATCCTCATTTATAGGGCTTGAACGCAGACATCTGGTTAAGAATGAATAGACACTAACCATCGTACCATATTAAACCTGTCAAACGGGCCATGTTGACCCGGTTCCGGACCGGACCGAACCGAACCAGTGGTAAAGGGGCTGGGCAGGGCTGGGTTTGGAGGTGAACCGGCCCGTGCCGGTGACGATTTGGATACCGATTAACCGGACCGGTCCAAACAAGTAATGTCTTATCAAGCTTGAACCGGTTAACCGGATCAGCCCGGACCGGCCCAAACCGGTTCAACGACTAGTTTTATTTTTTTTAATACATTTGACAGTTGGCAACTGTCAGCTCCCATTTTAACTGTCACGACCCGAATTTCCCCACCCTCGGGGTCGTGATGGCGCCTACTCGTAGAAGCTAGGCAAGCCACAATTCATAAACTCCTACCTATTTCATTTTAAATCCTTTTATCAATCATAACAACAAGCGTTAAATATTTAAATGACAGCGGAATATGAAATTAAGCGGAAGTCTTAAATAAAATATAAAACCAAATTATCCTGAAGACCAACACATGCCTCTAACCAGAACCTGGTGTCACAACATCCATGGACTGTCTAGGATTACTACAAATAAGTGTTTGAAAGAAAAGAACATAGTCTGTCTCGAGTACAAATGACAACAGAACATAAAACTGATAGAAGAGACGCCGGGGCTGCGAACGCCAGCAGGGCTACCTCGGAGTCTCGGACTAAAGGATAGCTCCCAATCTACTGCTGTTGACCAAATGTTACTCCGGGGCCTGGATCAGTGCAAAAGAGCACAGAGTGTAGTATCAGCACAACCGACCCCATGTGCTGGTAAGTGCCTAGCCTAACCTTGGCGAAGTAGTGACGAGGCTAGGACTAGACTACCAAATAAACCTGTACAGTTATATAATGTACAGCGGAAAGTAAAGCTGAAATAAACAAGTAAGGATGGGAGGGGGAAACATGTTGCGGGGAGATAACTGTTCCGAATAAAGCATCAAGTAAGGAAAGGAACAACATAACTACAATGTCAACAAGAAGCAGAAATCAAATAAGTGCATGGCATCATCCTTCGTGCTTTTTCTCTCGTCCTCACCAAGCAATAATATAATGAAAACATGCACGAAATCACCCTTCGTGCTTTTACTCTCTTTCCTCACCAAAGCAATTAGAATAATAAAATGTGCACGGCATCACCCTTCGTGCTTTTACTCTCTTTCCTCACATATAATCAATAGAATTGGCACGGAATGGTACATCGTACGGCACGACATCACCCTTCGTGCTTTACACTCTTTCCTCACAATAGCAAACAATGCACGGCATCGCCCTTCGTGCTTTAACACTCTTCCTCACCCAAACAACAATCACAAACGAGGACAAGGGAAATAAACAAGAACATATAGGAATCCCGACAAGGGAACAACAATTTAACAATTAAATCCCGACAAGGGAACAACAATTAAATAATTAAACCCCGGCAAGGGAACATTTCAATAACTCTTTCTCTATCTTTTACTTGTATTTCATAACTCACTTTACCACTTGAGCCAATGCTCCAAAGGGTTGAATCATCTCATATACTTTCACAATTCATAATATAACTCGAGCCAATGCTCCAAGATGTTCAAAGGTCTCAATTTCTTCCACAAACTTTTTACAACAACTAGAAATCATCACCAAAGCATGAAGGATACAATGAAATCAAATATTCACGATGTAAAGACTCACGGTCATGATAGACACCAATGTATAGATACTCGTCACCATACCTATACGTCGTACACGACTAATACCACATAGCAAATAAGACTCAACTCCTAATACCTCAAGCAAAGGTTAGACCAAACACTTACCTCGATGCCTTGAACACAAATCAAGTCTCAATTATAGCTTTACCCCTTGATTCCACCGCCAATTCGCTCGTATCTAATCATAAATTACTTAATTACATCAATAAACACTAAATGAATCAACCCCAATGCATGAAAATGAGTTTTCCAAAGTTTTACCCAAAAAGTCAAAAATCGCCCCCGGGCCCACGTGGTCAAAACCCGAGGTTCGAACCAAAACCCGATTACCCATTCCCCCACGAACTCAAATATATAATTTTTTTTGAAATCGGACCTCAAATCGAGGTCCAAATCCCCAATTTTTGAAAAACCTAGGTTCTACCCAAAACACCCAATTTCCCCCACGAAAATCTTTGATTTTAGGTTGAAATCATGTTAAAAGATGTTAATGATTGAAAGAAATGAGTAAAAACTAACTTACAATTGATTTGGAAGAAGACTTGTTCTTGGAAAATCGCCCAAGTGTGTTTGGGTTTGAGAAAATATGATAAATGGGGTTCAAAATCGTTTAAGTGCAAATTTGCAGGTCTCTGATATGGGAAATGCGAACAAGGGTTCGCAATTGCGAACCCCGACCTCTGCAGATCTGAGAATTGCAAAACAGGGTTCGCATTTGCGAACCCTTCAGAAATCCCAAACTTTCACATTTGCGAAACAGTAGTCGCATTTGCGACATCGCATTTGCGACATCGTATTTGCGAAGAAGAGATCGCATTTGCGATCGTAGAGGATTTAGGCGGGCATCGCATTTGTGATGAATGGCTCGCATTTGCGAGCTCGCATTTGCGAGACAGGCTTCGCAAATGCGAAGCCTGCAGATCAGAACACACCAGCTATTTTTCAAAGTCCAAAAATGCACCCGTGGCCTATCCAAAACTCACCCGAGCCCTCGGGGCTCCAAACCAAATATACCCACAACCTCAAGAATATCGTACGGACTTATTCGTGCGATCAAATCGCCAAAATAACATCATAAACATCAAATTAAACCTCAAAATCCCTGAATTCTTTCAAACTTCATAAAATATCAAATTTTCCAATTTAGGTCCGAATCACGTCAAACGACTTCCGTTTTTCACCAAATTTCACAAGAATGACTTAAACCATATATAAGACCTGTACCAGGTGCCGGAACCAAAATACGGGCCCGATACCAATACGTTCTAATCAATTTTCATTACAAATTTCCTTAAACAATTTCAGAAAACAATTTACAAAAACATTCATTTCTCGGGCTTGGGACCTCGGAATTCGATTCCGGGCATACGCCCAAGTCCCATATTTTCCTACGGACCACCCGGGACCGTCAAATCACGAGTCCGGGTCCGTTTACCCAAAACATTGACCAAGGTCAAATTTATTCATTTTAACATCAAAACTTAGCATTTTTCACAGAATTTCATATTTAAGCTTTCCGGCTACGCGCCCGGACTGCGCACGCAAATCGAGGCGACTCTAAATGAGGGTTTTCAAGGCCTCGAAGTCATAAAATTCAATTAAAAATAGGTGATGACCCTTTGGGCCGTCACATTCTCCACCTCTAAAACAACCGTTCGTCCTCGAACGGACAGAAGAAGGAAGTACCTGAGTCGGGGAAAAGATGAGGATAACGGCTTCGCATATCGGACTCGGACTCCCAGGTCGATGCCTCGGGAGGCCGACCTCTCCACTGGACACGAACAGAAGGGAAACTCTTCGACCTCAACTGACGAATCTGCCGGTCTAGAATAGCTACCGGCTCCTCCTCATAAGACAAGTCCTCGTCCAACTGGACAGTGCTGAAATCTAACACGTGGGCTGGATCGTCGTGGTACCTCCGAAGCATGGACACATGAAACACTGGATGCACGGCTGATAAGCTCGGCGGCAAGGCAAGTCTATAAGCCACCTCTCCCACTCAATCAAGAATCTCAAACGGACCAATGAACCTAGGGCTAAGCTTGCCCTTCTTCCCAAATCTCATCACGCCCTTCATAGGCGACACTCGGAGCAATACCCGCTCACCAACCATAAAAGCCACATCTCGAACCTTGCGGTCTGCATAGCTTTTTTGCCTGGACTGAGCTGAACGAAGCCTATCCTGAATGATCCTGACCTTGCCTCCTGAACCAGATCCGTACCCAACAACCGAGCCTCTCCCGGCTCAAACCATCCAATCGGAGACCGACACCGCCTACCATATAAAGCCTCATAAGGAGCCATCTAGATGCTCGACTGGTAGCTGTTGTTGTAGGCAAACTCTGCTAAAGGCAAAAACTGATCCCACGAGCCTCCAAAGTCAATAACACAAGCTCGGAGCATATCCTCCAAAATCTGAATAGTCCGCTCCGACTGACCGTCCGTCTGGGGATGAAATGTTGTGCTCAACTCAACTCGTGTGCCCAACTCTCGCTGAACTGCTCTCCAGAAACGCGAGGTAAACTACGTACCCCGATCCGAAATGATAGATACAGGCACACCATGAAGGCGAACAATCTCCCGAATGTAGATCTCGGCTAACCTCTTAGAAGAATAGGAGACTGCCACAGGAATGAAATGCGCTGACTTGGTCAGCCTATCAAC